GTGAGCCTCACAAATGGGGCTCTTAGTTTTTCCTCTTCTTTCCTTTTTAGGCCTGAGCCCATCAATGTGCAGTCAAAATGAAAAATAGTTTTTTTCCTTTTCTTTTTCGTTTTATACTTTTATATAGTAGGTGTGAGATTGGACATTTAGAAGTTGAACCATCTCCAAGAATGCCAGATACAAACTTATTACTTTTTTTTTTTTATATATATTTTAGTTGCATGAGAGATAACCATCTCATATTTTTAATTTCATCTCAAGAAAATAATTATTAATTATTAACTTTAATTGAATTGATTATGTATCTTAGATTATAAATAATAATGATTATTAATCATTAAATATTAAATGTTAGTTAGTAATTATATCACAATAGTTAATCTAAATACCCCTTTAATAGTTTAAGATTTTTAATTGAAATTTTTAGATTTAAAACCTTAAGATGTATGATGAGAGATTTTTTTAAAAAAAAGTGTATTTCCTATTTCTTATTGTAATAATAATAATAATAATAATAATAATAATAATAATAATAATAAGCACACGAATTTAGTTGCAGCTAATCTATATAGCAAATAATGGTAGTGATGAGATCTAGGATTAATTGAGAACAATTAGAGTAAAATAATAAGCATGTCGGCTGCATGAATGCATAAAAAAATAATAGAAGTAGTTAACCACTTAATGATTACAATTTCTTTGATGACGTCTATAAATTTAAAATTTAAATTGTGATAATCTCTCCTTTTTTTTTAATTGTATTGATTTAAAAAATAATAATAATATAAAATTTAAAAATTCAAAACGTTTTGAGGTAAGAATGTCACATCACAACCATTCCTTAAAAATTATGAACATATAAACACTGTTCATCCAGAAGGTGCTTAAGCAGATCGGTTCCTGATAATTTTTTATATTTACTTGCAGCTCTGTTGTTGGGCGTAGAGAGAGGGTGAGAGAGACACGGGATAAGGGTTCCATTTCGGTTCTTTTATTTTAATATTTTTTTTCAATTTTTTCTACTAATGAAAATTTTTTTAGTCATTAAAATTTATTATTTGGTGTATTTTTAGTCTCTAAAATTTATTTTCTTGTTTATTTTTAATTCCTCGTTTATTTTTTTACACAAATATCATGTTAGATAATCAAAATTTCACTATATAAGAATTATAAATGAACTTTTTTTAGTAGAGAACCAAAAGGGATTTTATTAGTCCTTTTTTAGTTCCTTTACTTTAAAATTTCTTTCATTTAATGTGTCATATATGTAAAAAATAATGAAAGGATTAAAATAGATTGAATAATAAACTTTAAGGATTCAAAAAAGTTTGTTTAAGTAAAATGACTAAATAAACTTTATGTTAAAGTAAAGGGACTAAATGAGATTTTAACCTCCTATCTATGATGTTTACAGGTTGAAAGCAGCTGCAGCCAGCTGTATTCTCTGCATCCATACAACATTCTATGCAATTTCCTTGATGAACAAAAAATAACTTATTTTTAACAATGAAGCCTCAACTAATGTTGACTGATTAGGTCTTGAATTTTTGAAAATTTGAGTTCATGTTTATTGTTAGATAAAAAATTCAAGCTTTACACCTTGCTTTTACGATATTATAATTTATAACCGTGTCATAAGATGTATCTCTTAATTTTAGAGTTGGATTTAAATATCCACTCTTCCAAAATTATAATCCATTAAAAAAAAATTTTCAAGTTTTATTTTGGACAAATTATAATTTAGTTTATAATTTAATTATTTATTTTGATATAAATTTATTGTCTTATTTTTAAATAAAAAATTAAAAAAATTCTAGTTTTAGTTTGGACAAATATATTTGAGGCTTAAGGACCGCCCATGTGCTTTTCGCTATCTAATTTGCAAATTGTCTTGAACATTCAATTTTTAATATTAAAATGATGCTTTATGTTTTTAATAAGGACACACTTCAAATTAACTTAATATATTTAGAGAAATTAGTCTTTTTATATGCTAATTTAAAATTTAAA